GCTTGCATAAAACTGACCAGACACATTCAATTTACCAGACAATTGAACAACTAGAAAAAGTGAAAAAAATACTTCTTATCGCCAGCATAAATGCGTAATTATTTTTTTTACAGAAAAAGTAATTTTTCACCTTTGATTAAGTAACGGGTCATAGAATGCAGATACAGGCATGGCAAACACACCTTTTTAAAGCTTGAAGTTTGGCGATTCTAAAAATATATACTTTCCTGGGTCTATTTGTAGTCATGTGGTCACAATTAGAAGATGAAAACAAGTATGCAAATAATAGTCCCGCTACCATATAACACTTTCCCCGTTGCTCTGATTTTTTTTAGATTTTGCTTACAAGTAAATCAATCTCTTGCCGCCGTTGTGTGCTTCGCAAATCAGAGCTGGCTTATTTTAAAGGGCGGTGGATGGCGTCATACACAACGCCTGTAAAATACATTGTTTGTTTACATCAAAAACGAACACCGCCCGGGCCATTAAATTGGTATGATTACGCGAAAACATCGGTGTTTATAGTGCACCTGGCTCGATTGAGATCCATGTGTTTTATTTTTTTTAAATTCATTGAATTCATAGCCACTATGATTTAATGCATTAAATTATGTCCGCGAATGAACAGGATTTGTGTGCACAGCACGATCGCTGACCATATTTTACGCATATAAACTATGCGATGTTTACTTTTTTTTTAAATTATGCGTTTGAATGACATACATGGAGGGTATTATTGTTCAGTTACCTTTTAGTAAGAAGTATATGAACAAGTGTTACTACATGCAAGAAGCACAAAGCGTAATATACACGTGGACATGATATTTACATATGATATAACAATGACACTTTTATTTAAATAAATGTAGTTTTCAAGATATGAAATTTGAATACGTGAGTTATTAAATCATGTAATACACACGGAGTGCATGTTTCCTGTTATATAACGAATAATACGTCAGAGTCAGATTTTTGTCACATTTCCTTGAAATTGAAAAGTGCAGAAATCGTGACGAGGACTGACTATGAATAAATGATATACTAGTAATAAACACCCACATGAATGATACTTGTATGTCACGCCCTCTGACGATGAGATGGTCTCTGTGACGTCAAACGACCAACTGTTGTAAGGTTGTATAGTTTGGTGTAGAATATAGTAAATCTCGCAAAAAACTATTTCACTTTCACGGACTACATACCACAACAATATCGACACTGAACCCATTTACGTCACAATATTCGTCGCTAGAGGGCGCTGTTTGTATAAATTATGTAACCATCAAAAATACAAAACAGCAGCATTTTGACCGTACAGTAAGCATATGATCATGTGAGAAGAAAAACTGATTTGCTTTGAAAGAACTCGCTTACAAAAAATTAAACAACAATTATATGAAGGGCTTGAGATTATTCCCGACCATGCGTAGCACGGACGGGAGCTATAATTTCCATGGCAACCGACAGCACAACGTCCAATATGATTATTAAATTAAATCAGATTTTAATATCTGATAATCAATACTTTATTGCATCCGTATAAAATATATGATAAATAATGAACTTTTCACAGTTTTCGTTTCTCGGGGTATTCCAAAAACTGTATTTGTTCAACTTCGCATGGTTTAAGATAACACATAATGCTGTTATGCCGAGTAACCGGATAGAATCATCGCTATAGAGGTCTGGATTACGAACACACATGACATATGTACAACAGTTTTGGTAGCACTCGATGTCTCAGTCTCTGCAAAAAAAATGTAGACATGTATACATATTATAACAGTTCCAAAAGATAAAATTGAATATTCATAAATCAAATTAATAAATTCTAATACATTCGCTAGTATACACAATGGTAATCATTGGGCTTCATTATCTTTCAACTTGCATGAATCTAGTTCCGTGAATTAAACAAGAGGATTTTGTCCAGAGATATGGCAGGATCAACCTGTCAATGAAGAAACGAACGTTTTGTGTGACGTATTTCTCCCAACATACTCTGCTGAACTTACTGACTGTGCACTTTTTTACTATATTGTCCGAGAGTCACGTTTGTTGCAGGTGGATACTTTACTCACCTTTACAAGTAGGTGGTGACGGAACAAATGTTCCGTTCTGACACTGTACCATCTCACCACCTTCAAATACCGCGAGATCTGTACATCTAAATCTGATATATTCACCATGAGTGTACTCATCCTTGCTCGGCACCCATTCTAGACGAGGAGTTTCATCGTTTTTCGCACAGTTACCTAGGAAACAAAAGTCATGAAAGTTAGATTCATCAAGGTTCAGACAAAACTGGGAAGTTTGTTTGCACTGGACTCGGCAACTGCGATTTTTGCCCCACAGACAAAAATAACCAATGGCATTGTAGCAACCAGTGGTGGCGCCGTTAACTTGACAGTATAATGTTTGCATAAAGTCCTACCATAGCAAACTGGCACTTCTTTATCCCATGTCCCATCTTCTTGACACTGTAAGGCAGCTGAAGACGACGCCGTATAACCCTCAATGCAAGCATATCTTATAGTCTGTCCTGATGTTGACGGAAGGGTGCCCTCAACTAGCTGTCCGTTATCGGGAGTGCCCGGAGCCTGACATGACTCTGTGAAAGAACCAACTTGTACTGTTAGTTTGATCCTATTGTGCAGTGCTCGAGCTAGTTTCGTTATTTCGAAGTAACTAAGTGGTCACTTACGTAGGCAGCTTGGGACACCTGTAGTAAAATTGAGGGTCGGTGACCACTTCACGGAGAAATCAGAATTATTCAGCATACATGTAAACGTCGGAGTACCATGAAGAAGGAAACCATCATCACAAGATATCGTGATCTGCGTCAACGGCGCGTAGCATTGCTCGGGATCCTGGCATGTCACACTGCCATTCGTCAATTCACCAGGGTTTGGACAGTTTTCTGTAAAAAAAAAAAAAAAGAAGGTAATAATGGATGTTGTGTATTAGACGAGTAAAGCAGACCTTATGAAATATATAATTTTACAGAAAAGTCACTACCATGACGAGAATAGCTTTCTGATACACTATCGTAAATATTAATTCAGACGCAATTACTAATGGTCTTTTTAGGAAATAAACAACAAACTTATTTAATTGCCTGCTATATTTTTATAAAATTCAGAACTAAAAGAAAATGCCTATCATCTCACTAACTCGCGTCGAGTAACCAAGATAGATTTTTAATATTATTATATTGCTAGAATATAAATACAAATGGTCGGGACTTACCAGAACAATGCAGGGCATACGGGTCTTCTGACCACATTCCGTCTTCACATTGCAATGTAGGGCCGCCAAATAAGCTGTAACCATCGCTACCATCACATGACATTGTTAACGTGTCACCAGAATAGAATGGAGATGCGTCGGCCGTTTGAACTCCTCTCTGCAGACTGGCTGAATTCGGCGTGAAGCATGCTGGGAATATATGTATTACATTACTAATGCCAATAACAAACTGTTATACTATTTGAACTATCAATATTATTATTTTACTTCATATTAATTGTAACTACTAATGGCACTCACCACATGTCACTGAGGAACATCCAATCAATTTACTATCATCGCCATCAAATCCATTCAGCGTAAACTCCGTGTTCGGGCCTTGTTGTAATTCAACGCAAGCGTACGTCGCTACAGCGCAGGACGATGCTGTCACAGCATAATCAATATTGAATTTGATAGCGCCACCTGCGGCAAGATCCTGGTCTTTATCTGCCTGCGTCAACATCACCGTCGATTCATTATATTGTTTTGCCCCTGAACTTGAGTCACTGAGGAAGACGTTAAGACTCCAGAGGTCAGTCCCACTGACGCCGGCTCCTATGCTGCTACTAGTAGCATCAACGAGTAAAGACAGAACACTCTCCTCTCCCGGCACTACAGGCTGGCCATTACTGATCGTGGTAATCACTTGGGTAATTATAACACCTGAAAGTGTAATAATGATAAGATTAGGTGCTAAGTAACTATCAACTATAGACATGTTTGGATCGTCTGGCAATAAATCTCGTTATGTTTTTTGTGATATGGGCACAAACTCTCAAGTATGCCGGTGAGGGCACAATGACTCACCGGGTTGATGGAGTAGAAACATGTTATACATCTTTCTAAAATATAACCTAAAACTGCTTACTGTATAATGTGAACAGCGAAGTAAAACCAAATGCTAGATTTACATATTTTGTAGATAATATTTTATCGACTTTCTGTAAACTGGTAATTAAAGTTATTTTTTTTTACTTTTTATCGAGCTTTGATACAATTTTTCAATTATCAATCAATACTTACTTCCACATAGTGGTACCGAATTGTCCCAAGTTCCGTTGTAACACGTGAGAGTTGAACTGCCTGCCATTGTTATCCCGCTATCACACTCGTACTCAACAGATCCAGCATGAACGTAACTTGCACCGTCCACTTCAATGCCATTTATTGGAGGTTCGGGTTTTTGACAATTTACTGATTATGGAAATAAATATTGGGTGTTAATATTTCTATAAACTCCAATCTGATTAAAATAAGATCCTTGTGGGGATATGTTAATATAGTTTTTTTTTGGGGGGGGGGGGTCGCGAAATTCCCACTATGTACGGCGGAATTAAAAAAAAATCACAAAATCAAAATCAAAGTAAAAAAATAAAATAAAAAGGCATTAATAACAAAAGTAATAAAAAATAAATCTCAAGCCCGTACACTACATCAGATTTTAATCAGATTGTATAGACTCGTATATAGCAATTACTCATTTATGAGATAACGGGAATTCACTGTTGAATTCACGACCAGGGTCAATGGTCCCACTGAGGAAAATCACTGTATCAGGAAAATGACATTCCGATCATTTGAACGAAACAAACTCGCCATCCACCTATTCTATATTCAGCACAGGAAGGCCGATCATGGTACGACACGGGAATTTAGTATTTAATTTGAGTTGGATTTATATACTAGTATTATGATAAAACATCCTATTATGTGATGAGAGTTCTATTTTGTGAAGTTTACTGCAAATTCGAATTTGAATTCGCATTACTCCAACTAGATTTTATGCTTTGCTATGTTTATTTAAATGATTCAAATGATTTGAATACGTCAATGTCATCGGTGAGTGTTTAGCCTGACGAGTCGCGTGAGTTGCGCCCTCCGCGGTGCTCCAAGGTCTGATGCCGTTCGGTCGGCGAGGGCCTACTCACGGCTACAGTTCTCGCTCGTTACTTACGGAAACACAATTCTGGTGGGAGGCGTGTCTGTATATTTGCGCCGACATACCAGTCTCCGTTGTCACACGTAAACGTATCTACACCGTACGTAGTGGCATTGACATCACATATGAACGTGACTTGGTCACCTTGTTCGTAGTATGTACCATCTAATGTTGGCTCCGAACCACGTGACCCCAGCGTTGGATTTCCAGGATCAGGACAAAGTCCTGAAAAATGATGGTTTTAAAAAAATTAGATATGAGCGAATCAGATAAACACTGCTAAAATAAATTAACTAACGCATTCGTATTTTGCACACTTTAGTCGTTCGTTCTTTAGAATTTAACAACTGCCTAAATTAAGATCAGAGTGACGGCCGAGAACATCCGGTTTAGTGCACTTCGTCACAAGAGTGCATCTTATAAGAACGATGTTGAAACACGTGTCAATGAAGTATCTCACCGAGTCCAAACCTTTCAGACACTGAATATGAAGACAGTGTTGTACAATTATATCAAAATCCAAACAATAACAATGTTACTTACGTGCGCACGCAGAATCACCAAGTGTTGGCGCTAGACTTGATGTACCCAGTATCGTGAAACAGCTATACCCCATTATTGTTGGCGTAAAACCAGTATTACATTGTACATATACCACACTGCCAATGACCAGCACACCACCAGGTGACGTCACTGCTGCAGAGTCGCCACACAACCCGTCTGATGTTGTAGTATAGCAGTCAACGTTAGCGGGATGAGCTGGTAGAACACAGTCTCCTGAAAAACCAAATAATGTGCGTAGTGTAGTGCAGTCACGACATTGCTGATAAACTCCGTAGAGACAGTCCTCGCAGGATCTTCTTGGCACTGAACAACGTGTGTATTTCATCAGTGAACAACGGGAATACTCTACCAGTCTACCATTATAAACATTACCTGAATGACTGTTTTTTAGGTGACTTTAGCCTAGCATAATTGTCTATGTATTTACAGGCATGCATACATTTAGTGTATACTCATTATCACGTGATATACTGATGAAACCAATTACCATTTCAGCTAAACTAGTTGTGAAATATAGGTTGTCACGAATGGACTACTGCTGTACACAACTTGAATTTAGATAATACATGTAAGAATATAAATATCAGTGTATTGTATGACAACATAATAAGGAAAAAACAAATATTAGTTGACAAACGAATTATACTTAAATATCAATTAATATATTTTCCACATTTTGATACCTGAACAGCGCAAACCATATTTGTACTATTTTCATACCAGGCTGTACAGTCTGGTTGCTTGTCAGAAATTATTTAAAACAGCGCCGCAAGTCCATGACCAATGAACTCCATCTTATAATATAATATAATGAACATGTCAGCCGACAAGATGGAATTATCACAAACCATCGACATTCCGAAGTACTGTCATCATTACAAATAATATTAGCACTCGGCAGTTTCACTTGAATTATCACAAACCATCGACATTCCGAAGTACTATCATCATTGCAAATAATATAAGCACTCGGCAGTTTCACTTGGTCTGTGCATATCCCTACGATTTAACCTCTTTATGAACTGTACATCTAATCTCTGTTATTTATTTGTCAAATTGAAGTCTTGCGTTGCGTGATTTAAATATCAAGCACAATACAGGAAAATAGCAATTGGGTTAGATTTGATGAAGTGTTACGAATCAGTGAAATCTTTACACATAACAAATTTGGACTCTGTATAGTGGGTCTACATGGGTGACTGTAAGTTTTGTTATCCAATTGACTCGAGTAGTAAATCATAGATGGGGACTGTAGTCAACGTAGGTAAATTATACACACACATGTTTTATGAGATATTTCATATCATTCGCAAAGTCGCGAGGTCTCAAGATGATCAAATCGATCAAGATGAGACACTATGACAGATGCATATATTTAGGTTAATCTCACGTTTACATAAAATTCAAAGTAATACAATATTTCCAAGAAAAATAGATATATACATTTCTCAATCAAATTTGCCGAATTTTCAAGTTCGTATTGTCGTTCTAAAGCCATAGAAGCCTGATTAAGCACAGAAGACCACCTGTTGTCATAAGGATTGAATTCCAATTAATTTATTTAATTAATGTAATTGTCATGAATTTGTTTTCGCGTATCTGTTGACCGACTTAATTAGTTGATTACGATCGAATTGCTGTGTTATGTCTGTCATCGTTCAGGCCTATTTGAAGTTTTGGACGGAACTTGGCTCAGTGATTTGGAACTAATTACCAGATAACCGACGCTATTCTATCGATTCTGACAGTTGGTATCCATAGTTATTAATGTAGTGAACGATTAATCAAAAGATATGACGTATTCAGTACTTAGTGTGATTGGCTGTATGATTGAAGGTTACGCCCTAGAGTCTTTTTACTGTTTTGTAATTGGTTAGAGTTTTGAAAATGAATAAAGAGAGTTTGAGTCGGTCTTGGCAAGTACTCTACAATAGACGAGTCTAGAGCAGTCCTGGAGAGACTTGGGGCGAGTGTTGACACAGTCTAGAGCAGTCCTGGAGAGACTTGGAGCGAGCCTTGACGCAGTCTTGGGCGAGTCTTGGGCCAGACTTGCGATAGTCTTGGGGATTTTTCCCCAGGGCTTTGTGTCTTATAGAGTGCTCGATTGACCGACTAAGACGAGAGCTGAAACGTATTTCGTTGTGTGTGTCTTATTTGACTGTAAAGTATAAGTGACTTTCCCGATCCCGTACCTCAAGGGGACGAGATATAGAGACGAGAAGAGATTCCCCCCTGACAAGTGTGGAGACCCCGAGAGAGAGAATTTACCCGTGATATAATGATGAGTACTTGCATCATTGTAACCCAGCGACGGTCGTTAATACAGCATCGTATTCTGATTCGAATATATGAATGTTGTTTTCTCTGTTCATTTATCTATGACGTCAGTGATAAGCAGGTAACAATGTTAAAAATTGCAAATAACTTACGATCACATCCAAATGTCCAAAGCGCCCTGCTCTGTAACGTTCGTTCTAAATTAAACTAACAGTGTTTGATACACGCAGTGTTATACATTCCCCACAAATAACGTGGTAGACACCAGGCCTGCCAGCTATGGCAGTTAGTGGCCCTGATAAAAAGCAAGCGACAAACATTTTTTTATAATAACAAATACAATGGAATAACAAGCAAAACAGATTTTAAATTAATAGATTACTGACTGACGTTCGTCATATATTCCAATGCTCACAAAAAGAGGTGGACGTTACAAATCGTTGTGGCCCGGCAGAAAACTAGACCGGACGACCGGTAATTTAAAACACTGGTTACACGCGTTGTATATTACGCATGGGACCCACGTCATTATAAAATATAGGTATATAGGATAACATTGTCAATCGTGTAAAAGACGCGCATATCATTAAGTCTATAAAATGAACACCGTTTATGATTTTATTTCTAACGTGGGTGACATATGTAATTAATTGTTCTATTTTCAGAGCATTAAGAAATGGGAAATTGAAATCAAACTTTGAATAAAATCAATGCAGTGTGTATGTCGTTTATAAACGTGTCATTGACTCGTAAATCATTGAATAATACATAAAAGTCAATACAGTGTGAAAGTTTGAAAAATCATTACCAATTACATTGTACATTCATTCAATATATACTAGAAGGAATGAATGTAGTTACAAACGACACAATCTCGTATGCTTGAATTCATTTACTGATGATTATATTGATAACAGCTTTGTTATAAACTTTTTTTCTCTCAAATTATATAGACTTAACATATACGTAAAATAAAGTCGTGACCGTCATATTTCATTGTAAATTCCACCAATGAAGTGTTAGCGTAAGCACACTCATAATAATAACCTTATATCTATGTTATGCGAATATATAACCACTATAATGACAAACTATTTACATTATGTATAATGTAAAATTCTAGTCTCAAGAGGTGTAACATGTCTATGCTACAAATTGTAGGTGTAAAAATGGACGTAGTACTAACACTAACACTAGTACGTCCATCATGGAGTAACTTGTCGTACTGGACGACCATTGACAATGACTACGCTAATAAAATTCCAAGCACCGACAATGGACTTTATTTACTGAATGCAACTTGACATACTAGTACTGTGTTGATCGACCACCTTGGGGACAACAATGCTGGTTATGGGCACTCATTGTCTTACTGTACTTACGTAAACGACATACTTTCTACTGGATTAATGCAGTAAATATTCTTACCAAACCACGGTGCATGGTGGGGACGTGTCGATCTAATCAGTAAACAACTATGCCCACATACGTTAGTTCACAGCGCTGAACTGGACACTGTACTCCCCATAAGGTTAACACTATAGGCAATACAAACAGTGAACTCACCTAAGACGCTGGATATGAGTAAAAACTGCAGGACTACACATATTATGGAAAATCCTCCAGTCGACATTTCTGTGACTGAAAAAAGGCTGCTCGTCGACGATGATAGCTCACACGGAACAGTAGCCTTAGAATGTGTGTAACTAATGTCAATTAATTCACACAGTTTGACTCAACTGTACTCAAATCTGGCCTTTGTTGCTGATATCGACGAAGGTTTCGTACTCGCACCAATAATCCTTTTATGTTAAACGTTACGGTTCGCTTATCACCTTCTTTCTTATACGCCTGCTATTCATATGCAAATCAGTACTAAAACACTGAGTCGGGAGTCATTCCAACAACAGGAGAAACTTTGTTGCACCTTTTGTCGATTTTCGTCGGTGTTGAACTGAATATGTCATTTAAATTGCCATTATACGTAAATATGTGCAAACTGTTCACTCAAACAGGTCGCTGTCTTGTATTTTTCACTTGAGGTGGTTTAAGCGAGCAAGTTACCGATACTTGTCTGCATAATAATGCGTCTTTTGAAACACGAATCCTACCCGTGAAATATGACCTGTCAAGTCTGCAAGGAAGCAATACTTCGCATATATCTCCAGGGACGTGTTGTGCATGGGTGTGGTGGGTGTAACGTTTAGTTCCAATGTGTGACGTCATATGGCAACATATATACCAGCTAGATAACAATTTTAGACTAAACCTGAGGTATTTGACCTCTACTTTGAATCTGTTCGATTAATTACGTCCATTGCTTGTACCATGGCAACTCAATTGAGTGACAGCGCAATATTTTCGTCCGATTAACTTGTTCGTCGTTTTTTTTTACATTGTCCTAACTCCTAGCTTTTCTGTGATGATGTAAGAATTTCCAGACGGGTGTCTAATTTCGTGCGATTTGGAACCATGTTAAACAACACTGAAATAATGTAAAACTCGTAGATTCTGCCAATCTATGAAATTGACATGATTGGACATACAATAGTGTGCCATTTTGATCCTGTGAAGGCGTGCTTCTCAAAATGTCACGTAATTAAATTGACACATAAGTAAATTGTGTTATTATCGCATTCAGTTTACTACAACGCATTATATTACGTATTTGTTCACAAGACAGCAGATAACAATAGTTAGATTTTGTAAAATATTTCTGTTAACTGTCGTGCTAGTTAAATCATTTACATAGAATACTGTTTGCCTCATTACTCTACGTACCCTATAATAGTGACCAGTTTCTATAAAGAATAAACATAAACAAATTAGTATATTATCTAAATTATTAGTATGTACTATCAATTTATGCGCATTTGTGAAATTTGTTATCCAGTGAACGAATCCAGT